TTTTTTTTCTTTGAGGAAATTACTTATCTTGGTTATATTGTAAGTGGCAAGGGAATTCGCCCGAGTACCAACAACATCGACGCGATCCTAAATTATCCGACACCGCGTAGTATCAAAGATGTACAGCGTTTTATAGGCTTGGCTAGCTATTTTAGGCGATTCGTAAAAAATTTCTCGATAATAGCGAAACCACTTTATAACCTATTAAGAAAGAATGCCGAGTTTCATTTTGGATCTAACGAGCTACGGGCGTTCGAAACTCTAAAGACTTTATTAGCCAGTCGACCGGTTTTGGCTTTGTACTCGCCCAAATTAGAAACGGAATTACATTGTGACGCAAGTGCGAGCGGTTTCGGTGCAATATTGATACAAAGACAAAGTGATGGGACACGCCGACCGGTATTTTATTTTAGTCGTAAGACAACAGCTGTGGAAGCGAAATATCACAGCTTCGAGCTTGAGTGTTTGTCCGTAATTTATGCCATTAAGAGGTTCCATGTATATTTATTCGGAATACCTTTCAAAATTCTAACCGATTGCGACAGTTTTAGACTGACTTTGAGTAAACAGACAATTAACCCACGCATCGCGCGGTGGGCAATGTATTTGCAGGAGTACGATTATACAATTGAACATAGGCCGGGAACGAAGATGTCTCACGTCGACGCGCTGAGTCGGTGTCACGGTGTGCTCGTGCTGGAGGCTAATACATTCGATCAAGTGCTATCCATTCAGCAAGATAAAGACAAAGAGATTTGCAAAATTCGGGAGAAACTAGAGACTACCGAAGATAAATTTTTCGAGCTACGCAACGGCTTAGTTTATCGCAAGGTCGGGAAAAAATTGCTATTCTATGTGCCGGCTTGCATGGAAGGCAATGTTATACGAACGTGTCATGACGACATCGGGCACGTCGGAATCAATAAAGTAATCGAAAACATCAGTCGAGTGTATTGGTTTCCATACATGCGAGATAAGGTAGAACGACACATATCGAATTGTTTGAAGTGCATTGAGTTCTCTGTTGCGAGCGGGAAGAGAGAAGGATTTTTGCATAGCATACCTAAAGATGATCTTCCGTTTCAAACTATACACGTTGATCATTACGGTCCACTTGAGCGCGCCGGCTATGGCTTCAAGCATATTTTGTGTGTCGTTGATGCATTTACAAAATTTATTAGACTATATCCTTGTAAGTCGGTGACGACAGCGGAAGTCATTAAACATTTACAGGATTATTTTAGAGCATATGGTAGACCAAAGCGATTAATAAGCGATAGGGGGACTTGCTATACGTCAGCACATTTCGCCGAATTTTTGAAAGAAAATTCAATTAAACATGTTTTGATCGCGGTAGGCACTCCACGCGCAAACGGGCAGGTTGAACGTTTCAATCGTACCATCGCTCCGATGTTAGCGAAATTAACGGAGGATCCTTGTAAGTGGGATAGAGTTCTCGAATCTGTGGAATACGCGTTGAATAATACAATCTCCAGATCGACGCAAAATACGCCTAGTCGATTGCTGTTTGGCGTGAATCAGCAAGGCAAAGTTAACGATACAATGCGCGTAATTTTGGAAACCGATGAAAATAATGTTCGGGATCTCAATTCCACCCGTGAAATAGCCTCCGGAAAAATTGCGCAGGTGCAGAATCAAAATAAGCGATCCTATGATGCGAAGCGAAGACCAGCTTCAACATACAATGTGGGCGACTACGTAATGATTCGAAATTACGACACGACTCCGGGCGTTAACAAAAAATTGATACCAAAATATAAAGGGCCGTATATAGTTAAAAAGATTTTAGATTTTGATCGTTGCGTTGTAACTGACATCGAAGGGTTTCAGGTTACTCAAATTCCATATAATGGCGTAATAAGCATAGATCAAATGAAACCATGGATCTCAGATCAACAAAAGTGATTGACTCCATTAAACTGCGTTAATAAAAATTACGAGCGCTGATTGTAGCGAATAAATGACATGTAATGTAAGGCGCAAATAAATGTAAATTTTGTATGATTTGTATGACCGGGACGGCCCATACCGTCAGGAAGGCCGAGCTGTAGAGGAATGTGTATCACGATTGACATTCGTGCTCATCACGAATGTCACTCGTGCCTGGTATCCGGCCACTTCGACCGTGTTTGCCTGTTTTTCGGAATCGAGCGGCACGGTCGTCCGATTCTGTGCGGTGAGCCGACAGTCGTTCCCTACCCGCGCTGCTAATCGGCAGTATTCGAAATAAAGTTATTAAGATACATCGGTGGCTTATTTATCCTACGTACCCTACACGTTAGAGATAATACAACTTGAATTTTGTTTGTTTAATTTGATACAATAGTTTTCTTCGGGATATAATAATTACAAAATAATTTTCCGTGATATATACAGGGTGTCTCATACTTAATGGTACAGCGCTTGTGGGGAGGTAGTGTGGACAAAACTAAACAAAAAAGTCCTCTACCATTTTGCGATCTTTGCAATAGTTTTCGAGATATTAATATATAAAGCTCGTCGAATCTGAACGCGCGGCGAGATACCCCCGCCCGCCGCGGACCACAGGCACCGTCCCCGCGCGCCTAGTGGGCGGCGCGTGGTGGGGGTAATCCATTGCCGTGCGCTAGACAATTAGTTACCTCCACCACGCGCCGCCAACTAGGCGCACAGGTGAGGGAGGTGACCGCGGTCCGCGGCGGACGGGGGTATCTCGCCGCGCATTCAGATTCGACGAGCTTTATATATTAATATCTCGAAAACTATTGCGAAGATCGCAAAATGGTAGAGGATTTTTTTGTTCAGTTTTGTCCACACTACCTCCCCACAAGCTGTACCATTGAGTATGAGACACCCTGTATATACAATAACATGTATTTTTTAAATTCATACTTATCAATATAAATTTATACTTTTTAAAATAAAATTATGATTTTTATATGTTCTTTTAGTTTCCTTACTGTTGCATGCGAACATATTAAGGAAAATCCACAAAAAAGATTTCCGTAGGATTTAAGGAACATGTTATCTAATATTGACATTTATTTTGAATAAAGAAATAAAGTTTAAAAGTAATTTAACTGTATAGGTTCTTTTAAAAAATTCTGTAATATACAATATCTTTAGAATTAAAAAAATATTTTATTCTTTTCAGCCATTAAATTAAATCCGCTATTTTAAATTTTTGTTTTAATCTTATTTTTATCTTGAGCGTCTCCAAAAACATTAAAAAATAATTTAACTGTATGTTTTTTTTCTTATAAAGATAAATGTGATAGGATTAGTAAATTTTTTATCGGCAGGATCATAATATAGCATTACAAAATAATATAGCATATCATAATATAGCAGTACAAAAATACTCACTAATAACAGATGATCCATTTAAGTTCTGGGTTTCCGAATTAAAAGTACCTCCGCACAATCGATCGACGCACGTTAGCAGCGTTGAGGGTAATCGACCTAGGTTTGTGGCGCACGGTATCGATAGCCAATCGGTCATACAGGACGTTCCTGTCATTGACACAATTTGCGTAGCCTGCGTATTTCCCGTTAGTGTGAATGCGTTGCTACGCATTATTTGACCCGCTGCACCTAATGTGGTAGGTATCATCATTCCTTGAGCTGTAAACGAATTATATATTGTTAATGTTAAAGATACATACAAATGAAGCAAAACTATTATATAAGTTGTTGGAGAATTATTTTTCTTTTATCACTTAATTACAGAATTGGCAAAGTTACTTTAAAAAAGTAACTCGTTATCGTTACCGTTACTCAAAAACTAACGAGTTGTTACTCTTTTAATTATTTTTTTCTTGATATTAATAGAATATTAATTATGTAAAAATTTTTGTAGTAAATATAGATAGAAAATATTATAAAATTCTATCTTCTAGTAAAGGAATAATGCTCAAAGTCTGATGTATATTAATTATATACATGTATACATATACATATATAATATATATGTATATGTGTACATATAATTAACAAATATGTATACATATATAATTAATATATGAAGGACTCTGATTGAGGCTTAGCCAATGGTGCATTCAGATTCCCATCCAAATGTTACTAAGCTATTTTAATCTTGTTTAACATTTGATGAATAACAAGGACTTGAGCAATTGTTTAACATTCGATGAGTATAACAAGAATACCTAAACAAAATGATCTGAGCAGTACTCGAGTGGAAATTCGAATGCATCTATACGCTAGAAATAAAGTAACGACAAAAGTAACTTTAATCAAATTATTACTGTTACTTAAAAAAAATGTAACTGCGTTACTATTAACGTTACTCATAAGCAAATGTAACGTCGTTACCTATTCGTTGAAAAAAAGTAATTGTATTAACGGTAACGACGTTACAAATAACGCGTTACTTACCAAACTTGCTTAATTATTTATACTTTTATATTTTATTTTTAATATATTTGAGATCCTGATATATATTTTCTTTATCCACACACAAAATGTGTCCACACATACATATATATTACATTTATTATTATTATTATTATTATTATTATTATTATTATTATATATTTCTTTTGTACCATCATCAGGACACGCCATGTACTGGATTCCGCAAAAGTTTCTCTCCATTCTGATGCATATACTGTAATCTTGATTCGACAATTGTAGCCCAATTGTGGGATCGTAATTGAAAGACTTTATTTGGCCGGAGACTCCGGTGAAATATTGAAGGCAGCCCTCTTCGGCTCGATATATCGTACTGCATCGTATCTGCGAGACTCGAACCTTCCACGATCGTGGATAAGAGTTGCCGCTCGTAACGAAGGTCAAAGTAACTGGATTGGTTTGCCCGACTCCCGTGTCTATGTACACTGTAAAAAATATTTATCTTGTAAAAATTATAGATAATTGAATTGCAACTTAAACAACACTTAGCAAAAAATGCGAACGAAGGTAAAAAATAAGAGCGAAAATAATTTTATATTTAGTTATCTATACATAATAAATCTATACATAATTTTTAAGAGTTCAATTTGATAAACGAATTTACGTTTACAATTCCGTTTACTTATTAAATTGTTCTAGCTATCACACGTACGTTATAATTTTAAAAAATTTTCTATTAAAGTTGCAAAAAGAACAATTTTAATATATTTTGTATATAACTTTGATATAACGTGTTGGATAAGTTTCATTAAAATCAAAATTAAATTAGGGGAGACCGGGGTTAAAAGTAACATTTTTTCGTTTTTATAAGATAAAAAAGTCTATATTTGCTATAGATTTTAAATTTATATACACAAATAAGAAGGAGATTCAAAATTAGTTTCGCAGTAATTAAATGCCGTTAATTCAATTTCTAAAAGTGTTATTATGACCATTTGAATAGACCGAGGCGCGTTGCTACTTTTTACCCTAATGGGGTAAGAAGTAACAACGCTATGTGTTACTCATTATTGTTACTTTTTACAAGTAACAACGCTATTTATCTTATAAAAACAAAAAATGTTACTTTCAACAATGCGCGGCCTCCCCTGTTCGTTCATTGATTGATCTCCCAAGTATGTGAGTAGAAATAATTGCTAATAAAGTTTAATATTTATAAATGAGACCCAAATAATACCATTGAGAAATATTTATTTAGGTAATGCGCAGACATCTTACACACAGCGTGCACTATGTGAGCAGAGCACGACGCGATTGTTATAGCGCCAATGCAGCGGCATTAGTTATCTCGTTATCTCGATAGTTATCTCGTTCAGTATTATAGCATTATCTCTTTTTTTGACAAAGTTATAAGCTCTGTTACAACTTATCTCTATTACTTTTAACCCCGGCCTCCCCTAGTATGTAGTATGTTATTATTAAAACTTTTAGCCGTTAACTTATTGTGGAACTTATTGTGTCATTTATAAGTAGTTAAAAAATATTAAACAGCACACGAGAAACATTGTGGGAACTTTAAGGTTTGTCGTACAATACGTTGCATGCCAGTGTCGTAGGTTGCCGTATTGTCTATCACAGTTGAGTATTCTCCTCACATTTGAATGTGATTGATCAATTTTTATGACTTACAGCACTTATGACACTGATATGCGACGTATTCGAGAACGGACCTTAAAGTTCTGACAATATACCTCTAATTACAATATACCTGTGGCGATCGTGGCGCGAGGAGCAGCGCGGCAGCTTTATAAGCTAGAGATCCGGGTTCAAATCCACCCAGAATAATATAACTCTGAAATTGATTTTAATCAATTCGGAAACGATCGCCGCCTCTCGGAAGGCAATGGCAAACCACTGAGAGTATCTTTGTCAAAAGAACCTCTTCTTAAAAAAAAAAAAAATGGCCGTTCGGAACCGGCGTTAAAAATGTAGATCCCGTATATCTGCGTAAAAGTGTAAATAGCGCACATCGCAGAAATACGAGAAGAGGTCACTATGTTCTGTCAAGAGTAGTAGGACTATTGATTGGACAATATACCTAATTGATTGTAATAAAATTTCTTCGTGGTACATATTGTAGTCATAATATACCAAAATGCACTAAATAGTTTTTTGCAACTTTAACCGCAAATTTTTCAAAATTGTGACTTGATAAAATAATTTGATAAATGGGATCGTATTCAGCTTCTGAAAAACCTACAGAAAACGGTCTCGTTCTTATGCTTGAAAAACATTATTTCTTATATAATACACTTATATAATAATTATATAATAATTATATAATAATTATATAATAAACATAAAACACTTATATAATAATTTCGATAAAGGATAAAACATATAATGTTCTTCTCTTCCTTTCTTTTGGTACTTACTGTGATTTCCGTCATTGTTACCACATATCGTCGGCACCGGATTGCCACCGGAAACGATAAATTGGTCATAAACGCAAACGTTATTCGTTGTTTCTGGGCCCCTGATATTAAATTGTACAAAGTCTAATCTGTAATGAAAAAACGAAGCGAAGCAGAGTAAAAAATATCTTCTTATAAAATTCTTATCATTAATGTATTTTTTAAATTAAATGAATGTAAACATAAAGCAGCGCTTTTCAATCTTTTTCAATTCGCGGCACATTAAATCACGAACCAAATTTGTCGAGGTACATCATTGAGGTACACGCTTCAGCGCTTCAGCTCAAGATATTCGTAGATCTTTTATCAGCTCAACACAAATTCAGAAATAAATAATAAATTAAGTTTAAAAATTTTTATTTTTTATTGATTGTTTTAAAAATAATTTTATTGCAATGATAATATAGCTTTTGTTAAAATGAGAGTAAATGCAATATAATTTGGATAATTTTCATAGTTTCTAAATATTTTTTATTTCACGCCTTTTATTTATTTAAAAAATTTTTTTCTTTTCTTCTCTTCTCTAAAATTTTCAAAGCATAATTGGAGATTCTTTAAATTGCGCTACATCAATATGTCCACGCGGCTGATTGAAAAACTCTGTCATAATTAAAAAAAAAATGTAATTATCATCAAACTTTAAATATTTTTAGTAATGTATATCTATGTATATATATGTACCGATACTGGCATACATCTGGATCCGATTTCATCAGCGTCACTTGACACGATTCCATACCGTCGAAGGAGGACGGATAATTTGGATTGACAAAGTGTGTATTGTTATCGGCGATCATCCCGCCGCAGGACACCGTGACTATTGGAGAATAAAATAAAAATATTGAGAAAAGTTTTATTGTGAAAACGTCGAAACGTTCAATCGTTTTATTTACCTATACAACAGACCCCGTAACCATTTGCACAAACGCCGCTGGAAATCCCTCCGCGCTGCGCGCATTCCGCCGCTGCAACACACGTGCCGTTTTCTCCATTCAATCCGCCGCAGATACTGTTGTCGAACTTCACCAGCGTGAACAGCGAAAAGACTATATGCACATGTACGTAATAATTGTATAGTATATTTTTCTTTTTACATATTTTATTGAGTATATGTAAAAAGTTTTATATATGTTATTGAATACACAGCTCAACAAAAAAAAATCTACAAAAAAAATTAGAAAAGAGGATAATTGTTTTTTTTATAAATTTCCTAATACTGAATGCAGTTCCCTCCAAAATAGTTATACTTAGAATTTTCAAAACTTATAAATTATATACTTATAATATGCGTGATTTGTTATATGTTAAAACAATTTTATTCAAAATTAGATCATACTGTTAAAACTTTTAGTTCGCAAGAGAATTTTATTGTAAAGATTTTTATAATAATAAACAAAAAATAAAAATAATAAAATTGTTATGATTTAATTTTAAGTTCAGTATATAAAAAATTATAAGTAAAAGAAGAATTATGGATAACAAATAAAATAAATAAAAGAATTGATAAAAAAAACAAATAAAATGTTTCACATTTCATTCTTATGTTTATTTAAACTTAGGGATTTTTCAAGCAGACATAGAAAAAAAGATGATCACTAACAGCAGTATAATTGAAAATAATCTTCTTAATTGAATAATAACAATGAAACAAATAATATTTTATTAAAACAAAAACATATATATTTCATTAATATAATACTATTATTAAATTATTTCCAATTAGATTGTTGTTAACATCTAATGCTGTTAATATATCATTTTTTTGCACAAATTAAATCTGTAAAAATTAATCAATATGACAGATATCAATATAAAAATTTATAATACAATTCTCAGGTTACTGGATATAAATTCCCTGTTTAAATTTAATAAACACAATATTTGATTAAATATTTAATGAGTGAGGGAGCGGCGTTTTTCGCTTAGAATTATTCGTAATTCTAATGTACAATTTTATAATAGTATAACAGATTTTAATAAAAATATAAAATCTTAATATCATTTAATTTTTTTGAAAGTTTGGTTGCAAATTTTAACAAACTGCTTAATTTCAAGAGCAGTAAAACTTTTTCTGTATTTAGCATACTAAATTACGTTAAATCTTTTTCTACACTTTTAATATACATTTTTAAAAATTTTGATACGAAACAAATTTATATTGAATATTCTTAAAGAATGATTTTTCTTTCTTTTTGATTTTCTTTTTCTTTAGCTGTGATATTTATTAAGATTTATTACGATCCCACTCACGTCTTTTCTCCCTGGCAACTTGAGTGCGATTATTGTTTGGAAATTTTGATGATTCCCAATTACGTTTTCCTGCGGTGGAAAAGAAATCAGATCCGTTATCATTAATTTGCCACAATCGTCGTCTATCTGCAATTCTGTGCCTGCCGCGATTGTTCCAGGCGTCGACGTAAATGCGAAACACAATGCAGCACATCAAAAGCACGATCAATGACAGATGTTTGGTCATCTTGTAGGATTTCCAACGCGTTTCTGTACGTTGAAGAGAGACGGCGTTAAAGAAATTTCGATATCGCTATATTGCCGCGAATAAAATATCCGCTAAACTTTATTAAACTTTTATTATATAGACTTCTTCGGAAAGTCGAGATGTCACAACAGTTCTTGAAGGCGGACCACGCATTTCACTTAATGGGACGTCAACTAACTTCTACCAGAGTCCAGGGTGTTAAGTTTCTAATATACCCATAAACACTGTTTGCACGGTCTATATATCATGCAAACTGTAATATCCGCGAGTGTCAAGCCGAGTGCCCACCTACACACAAGAATTTCAGAGAAAGTCGAGAAATTTAATTGATGTGCCGAATAACGGGCATTGTTTTTGTCCCCTGAATCGCGTTAAGTACTTCACTTTCTCGCCGCTTAAATCGATTATAATTGCCGTCGTTGAATAAGGAGTAACTGCCCTGCGCGAGACACGATTGTGAACAAAGTTCGCTCGTGTAAATTATTTCGTCATGTATGCATATTTTGATCGCAAAATGAAGAATAATAGAGAAAAAGGAGGAACTTGAGAATCGTAAGATGTATATTTTGAAACGAGAAAGCTGCTGCTCTCTAAATTGCTCCACGCGTGACGTTTTCCATTATCACGGCGTGTAAGTTCCGAGATACGCGCGACAGATAGGACAATAGTGGTCCGTATTGTTGCAAGAATCCATGCAGTATGGTATCATGCAGCATGGCCAGCACCTGCGGCAAAAGCATACAGAAATTACAATAAGACAACTTTCGATATCATGGTGACGTCGGTTGAAACTCCGATTAATTTAATTTAAACGATTAATTAAGTTAATTATAAAACAAAATCTGTGTATTATTTTAATATAGATAGATTTACTAATTTCTTATTATTTGATATACCTATGAAAAAAAATTGGAATAAGGACAACAAATTGTACAGTTAAAAATTTTGCTGTGAACAATTCTGTAGGTTGAATTAATCTTCGAATAAATTAATCGGAATTTGAAAAGAGGTAATCATCAAACTGTAAAATAATTTTGTTTTTGGAGTACTAGTAGGGGAGACCGGGGCTGATTGATACATGGGGCACGTTGATACATTCAAAATTGCTACAAAATGACAAACGGTAATATTATATAAAAAATATAGTGTTTCCGCAAAAATATTGCAGTCATGCTGCAATTAGATATTTTGGACTGAATAGCATATTTTCAGAAATAAAAAATAATTTCACCATTTTGTCTTTCCGTTTCAAAGCGTATACACATTGTGATTAAGACGATTTGAGAGTTTTAACATTTTACACAAATTCGAATATTTATGATTTCTGGATATTCAAAAAACATGCATCTTGTTATAAATTACACGATTTCTATTACCAACGGACTGAGGACAATGCTTTCCAGAAGATTTAGATGACAAAACAAGAACATTCGCGAAACATTGGAATAGCATATATAAGTTGCGAGCGTATGCGTTGACGGATAATGTAAGTCTTATATTGAAATTGTTATATTGAATTGTTATGTTCCCACTGAAGATGACCACTATGTAAAAGGGTCGAAACGTCTGTACACTAGTTATTTATATATATTAAACAGATTATTTATCATCGAAACAAATATCGATTATTAGCACATACACCCAGCTTGGCTCAACAGCTCCTTTATTGTACTAATTTGAATACGAGCCTCA